TCCCCCATCCCCCCCCCCCCCTTTCTCTCTCTTTTTTTTTTTTTTATTTTAACCCCCCCCTCCTGTCCTCAAAATGAGGTTAGCAGCACCACTAGCACCAGCAGCATAGAAAGACTGTAGAGGAGACACAGTTACCGCAGCAGCCAGGAGAGAGGAGTGTTTTACAGCTGAATGACACCACTGTCCTGAGAACGCATCGCTCACCTCTCTTCTTTCTCTCTCTCTTCTCCCTTCTCCCTTCATCCTTCACCTCCCGTCTTTTTCAATCTCTCTCTGTCTCTGTAGCAGTGGTGGGGACGACCACCATGTAAAGACAGACAGGCAGCAGCGGAAACAGCAGAACAGCAGCGATGGGAAGCAACACATGGACCGGGTCTGGACTGCAGCCGTGGTGAGCCTGAGACCTACAGGACCTGAAACCGCCATTATTGCCCTGCTCAGGACCTGACCACTGGGGCTGTCCGACACTCACCTGGATGCTCCCCGCTCGCGTTTCCTCGCCTCCCTCCATCTTTGATCTCTGCTGCTCCTTCTCCGTTTCTCCTCTTCAGTTTTTGGTCTGCTGACACCTGCCACTTTCTGTCTGAACAGGCATCAGGCTTTCTTTTTGACATATTACCTTGGATTTTTTCTTTTTTTGCTCCATACTTTTTTTGGATGAGCCAGAGCTCATCCCCCTGTTGTGCACCATTTATCTTTAAGCAATAAGAAATAATAATCGAACCAACTTGACCAGCTGACACCATGGGGGACCTGGCCAACAGCGATTTTTATGCCAAGAACCAAAGAAATGATAGCATCCGGCTGGCGGGCTTCGGCTGCTCGGTCATGGAGCTGCGCTCCTTGATGGAGCTGCGCGGCACAGAGGCAGTGGTGAGGATCCAGGAGGACTATGGGGGCATGGATGGAATGTGCACGCGGCTGTCGACCTCACCTACGGAAGGTGAGTTCATGTGCTGTCCTTTTGTGTGTGTGTGTGTGAGAGAGAGAGAGAGAGAGGTTGGGGAGTTGTGTAAATGAATATGCGCCGGTGTGTATCACATGAAAGATCCCATTTTTCACGAGTGTTCTGCACTTTACACCGAGCGGAGAAACTATCTAAACTATCTATTTTCACACAATACACCTGCTTTATTTAAGAAACAGACAGCAGCAGTTGAAGCACCTGGAGAAATCTGTAAGCACAGCATCAGGGAGGGGAGGGAGTCCTGTACGAGGGGACGGATAAAATATCCCTCCCCTCCAGTTTGTGGAAGATCTGTTTAGTATGCATAGAAATCTCTCTGCACTGTTTAGCTCCTGTCACTCCCCCCGCCCCCCTGTTCCCACACTGCCCCCCTCCCAAAACCTTTCCTGTCATTCTCCAGTCCATGCTTCACAGTTGTGGGTTTTGGCCGAGCGCTGCGTGCTGGAGAATCTTCCATGTGAAGGAAGTCTAATTGTCAGGGTAAAAAAATGAATCCTGAAAACCTCAGAACCGGTTCCTATATAAACATGGACCTGTCGTTCCAAATGTGGCTTTAATGTTGCAGTCGCACAAACTACTAATATCAGCTGAACTGTTGTAACCAGTTAGTTTTTATTTGTAGCCTTTAAAAATAAAAAAATGTGTTTATAAGGATTAAAATAAACAAATACATCATCGAGCTGTTACTTAATGCAAACCAAAGCGGCTGCAGCTGTGACTTCATCAGCGCATCATACATTTTTAACAATGTTGAAATCACTCACCCCTCTGACATCATACTCTTTAACCATTGTTCACATCGTGTCACTTGTAATGTGTCGTGTCAGTTATTAGCCGTAACCTCGTACTCCTTTTCATTCGGGCACGTCTCTTCCATCTCAGCTGCTGAATGACGTCGGCTGATTGGTTCTTTCAAAAGTAATAAGATAAATGCAGTGATACCGTAAATAAATACGAATTTTAAATAAAAAGTACAATCACGATAACAGACGTTCCGTTTTGGCATTCCCATGATTGCAGTAAACACGAAGCGCCATATCCACTCTGAGACCTGCAGTGAAGCTGAAATCAACATAATTACAATTCTCAGATAGAAATGGGAATATTACAACCAGTCCCACGCCTTCTGTCTGTGCTAATGTGATTAGTTCAGTCTAGTCTTTCATTTAAATCATTATTTACAGTAGGATCACTGCGGTTAAAATAAAAACTCTCACTGCAGTATTTGTGTACCCAAAACTCAAGATCTTAATCCTCCTAACTATATTATTATCATGTACTGCATATGTAGTGTTTGTCTCTGCACTTTTCATTATTCAATTTTTATTTTTCATTTATTCATTTACGCTAGTGTCTGTTAACACTTCTGTGCTGCACAAAAGGGTCACGTGGATTATTTAACAACGCACACTGTGCGCTTGTCATCCAGTAGCTTCTAGATAAGACATGGGCAACCTAAGGCCCGGGGGCCGGATGCGGCCCGTTCAGCTTTTTAATCCGGCCCGCCAAACTTTATCAAATTATATAATTTATCTATATTATCATTATACTTCTGCCTTTTCTTTGCAATACCCAGGTTTCCCCTATAGATGGCAGAGAAAATGATAAACGCATTTTAGCATTTTAGCCTTTATGCATGATATAATTTGTCTAAGTTCACACGAACTCTCCATCTGGCCCGCGAGTCAAAAAGTTTGCCCACGCCTGGTGGACAAAAATACACTGTGAAGCCATATACGTACATGAGCGCATTCCCACTATGTTTATGTAGTCAGCATTATTACTGATTCATCACTTCGGGCTCAACGCGATCTACTAATAAGCAAAGTTGATCCCTATCTGGAGCACCATGGGGCATAATTAGGCCTCTTCATAATGAGTTACTATGATCTGTCACTGGAAAAAAAAAATCATTAGGCAGAAAACAGATGATGTCTAATGGATCTGTTTGCGTTCCCGATCCCATATCTGCCTACATTCGTGCTGTGAGTGCCCCCTTGTGTGTTGTGCGGCTGTGTGGTCCACACAACATATGTCACCCCAGAAATATGATCATGGCAATTATCTTTAAAGGTATCATATATTGCTGGCTGTCACCATTTGTGGTGTGTGTGTGTGCATGCATGCTTCCCAGGGGCCCACGTCTGATGGTCAGGGACCTGGAGCACGCTTGACCTATTTGCCTAGGATATTGTAGCCCATACCGGCCCCTTTAACATGATACTAACAGTTCATGAATGCATTCACTACATCACGCCGCCTGAGTGCATAATGGCTCTGTGAAGATGAGAGTGCTAGCAGTGAAGTGATTATACATTTTAGTCCATGCATTAAAAAGTACCAGGCACTATTATACTGCAGTGATCCTGCTGCAGTGGATGGAGAGTGTGAAAAGTAAAAAAGACTTGAATTGATTAGCTAGAGTGATCATACTGTGTTAGGTGGATGGAGAGTGTGAAAAGTAAAAAAAAGACTTGAATTGATTAGCTATAGTGATCATACTGTGTTGGGATACTGATCATGTGAGGTGTAATACTTTATTTTAAATACAGTACATACGTTGCGATTTAGGGCATGCTGCCTTTATATGACTGTAGTTGAGTGTCTTTTTCAGGACAGTGTCTTTTCTGCAAAGAAACCTCATGAAAAGTGTTAACTTCCTCCTTTGTTACCCAGAAATAAATCAGTGCACCATTTGACCTGGGAATTGTCTAATTCAAGGTTGTCTGCAGCAGGGCCAGGGCTATATCACAGACAGCACCAGCTGCCACATGGGGCACCACCTTTTTGGTGGGGCAGATGCCTGCAAAGAAATATGTATGGGAGGTTGCCACGCAGTTGCTGTAAAAGGAAGAAAAAGCATCAGTTTGAGTGTCAAATGTTACTCTTCATGGCCAGCAGTTCTTCTGTGTTGGGGCGGGATGTTCGTATCATGGATGTGGACGAATTCTCCAGCATCTTGTTGAATCTGTGCCACAAAATAATTATTTATAAGATATACCTTTCATAGTGACAAGTGTAGTATATGTTCTTAATTGTTTTTAGGTCACTGCAGATTCAAAAAACAGAGGTAGTGATGGTGAAGTTAGGACTACCGTGTAAACACAGGAACAGGAGATGATGGGAAAGACAGGTTCCGTAAATGAGCTTTTCTTTCCCATCATCTTCCATTACTGTATGTCTGTTTGTTTGTTTAATGGAGCAGAAGCAGAAATATATATATTTATATATATATATGTGTCTGTGTGCTATATGTATTTCAATGTAGAAATTAATTTTATTTACATTTGATGGCAACTTTCTCATTACCGCAATGCATCCTGATTTGTCTGAATGTCTAAAAAAAAGTATATCCAAAAAAGAACAATGTAAGCTTTAATGGATGTCTTCAAGTGACTGAGAAAATGACTCACTAAAGTGATTTGTTTAGTAATAATGAAAGAAAATGGAGTCTCCATGACTCAAGTTCTCATCCTCATATATATATATATATATATATATATATATATATATATATATATATATATATATATATATATATATATATATATATATATATATATATATATATATATATATATATATATATATATATATATATATATATATATATATATATATATATATATATATATATATATATATATATATATATATATATATATATATATATATCTTACTGATCACTGTTTCAAAGATTGCCCACTGAGCGTGTTGAAAAGCTTTCTTGGCTCAGTGCAGTGACTTTGTGGAGTCTCCTCTGGTTGCCTGGTAACTGCCCCTTTCCAAAAAAAGTAATGCAGCACCAAAACCCACAGAAACCCTAGGACAGCACATTTGGATTTCGGTCATTTCTATGTAGAAGGTATTGATTAAATTACCTCCAAACTATGCTAATGAGTGCATTTAATGGCCCCGGTTTGTGCGAGGCAGTGCTGCCACGTTTGGAGCTGCAAGAATTTCGCAACCACTGAATTTGGTGCATAACTTAGAATGGATAGAATGTACCGTGATAGTGAAAAAAATGATTCCACGTACATGTGTGTTTGATCCTGGTATCTGAGCCTGCCCGAGGGAAGGATGGAGAACAAAAATCGTCATGCATGCGAGGGCGATGATTCTAATGTCTGTGGTTCTTCTCGTGGGACTGCTCGAGCGGACTTCCTCCAGGTGTCGTCCTCAGCAGGGGGCCTGCGATTGACTAGGTCTCCTTTTGCATCTCTTCCTTTCCGCTGTCATGCACCTGAGTACCAGACGGTGCAGACATATGTCTGGACAGAGTCTTTTGTGCACAAGTGAAAGTCTTTCACATTCTCAAGCCACCGTTATGATGTTTGAGATCTGTATTTATACCGCTGCGTTCTTCTTCTTCTCTGAAGGCTTTGTTAAAATCCCTGCCATTAAAGGCATAAAATAGACATTTCTATTTCTAACCCTCCCCTCAGACACCAGACGTCTTCATTAACCACCTTTTCATCCACCTTCCTGTTTCTCTCTCTCTCTCTCTCTCCCTCCCTCCCTCCTCCCTGCACCTCTTTCACTCTTTTCCGCTCCAGTTTCTATTTCAGTTTGATGGTCGGTCACTCATATCCCAGTAGAACGGTGTACAGAGTAGCCTAATTAGACTTGCTCTACATCTTTAACCTTAACCATCTCGTCTCTCTGCCGCTCTCACCTCTTTTATTAAGTCAGTGAATGGTTCTGAAAAAGCAGAGCATTCCTTCAAAACAGTCAACCATATTTGAATGATATCTGAATCTGGTTGCCTGAATGGTTTTGAGGTAATATGCTTGAGGGATATGTTTTACAGTCATGCATTAACACTAGTGACCCTCAGTTGATTGTGCTGATTGATGCCAGTCTGGGCATTAATGTGGCTACTGGTCAAATGATCCATCACACATGGTGCCTAGGTTTTATTTTGATGTCTGTTAACGTGACACTTCCTGTTCAGGGGACACGGATGTATCAATCTG